AAGAGAGTCAAAACTATTTGGAAGGAGATATCCCATTGTTGATGCAAGTATGCCTATACATTTTACAGTATGTGTCATGTTCAGATTCCTTCAAAGACACTTCTTGAAAATGATGTGATGAATTGGGATGTGAAGTGGGGCAATGATAGGCAGCCCTTTTATCATGTATGGGAAATGAAACATTTAGCTCCTTTTTACTCAGAAAATGGCTGAAAGTATTTCCTTTTATAGTATTTCCTTCCAAGAAGAAGAGGTGCTGATTAGAAGGGGTCTTTTGTTCTGAAAGGGAAGTCAGTGTGCTGATCCAAGGGAGGGTGCTTATTTGAAGCTGCTGTATGTATTACATCAACTTATAATCCCCTTGATATTTTTCTTTATTCTCTTCACTTGTCAGCTTGATACTGTATTAATATCATACTTAATTCTGTCTTGGTCACTTATGGGAGATAAAGGGTTAACAATCCTGAGAAAAGCACTATTTGCAGATTCTTACACAAAAAATGCGGAGATGTTGACTTAACAGGTGTTAAAAAAAAAGGAGTAACTTGGATCTTTGTATTTTTTTCATTTTCTCTACTGTTAGATCCAAAGCAGAAGCTAGTGAGTGAAATAAGACAAACAGTTCTCCTAAATCAGCCTGCAGTTGGATTTATTTGGACTTTGCTCAAGCTTGTGTATGAGGCAGACTGTTGTGCTGGAAAGAAAATGCCACTTCTTAGCATGTATTTTGAAGTTGATGAGCTCCAAATGGCAAAAGAAAATATGAAGATGCTAGTAACAGTTAATGTGCTGAGTGAACAAGTTGCAAATGAAGACGTAGATTGTTCTCAGTCATTTGAGCTGGAAGTCGTTGGATGATATAATGCAAAGTTACCTTTGCTGCTCTTTATTTTTTTCTTATGGAGAGAAGATCAAGGGAAGAGACTGGACTCAATGTGCAAGCCTTACATTTGAAATCGAAAGGCAAATCACCTTAACTCATTTTTAGCTCACTTTTTGTTTTTTGAGAGGTTAAAGTAACTCTTGTAGGCTTTATGCAGTGCTATTGAAGTTTATCCCAACCTCCATGGTTCCTTGGAATGAAGTACCAGAGAATTCTCCAGGATGAGATGCCAGATCATTTCAAGTAACCTTGTGCTTCATCAAGTTCTCTGCCAGTTTTAATTTCCTGAGAGGAGTGGATTATTCCACCAAAGACAAATGCAATGACCCCATGTAGACAGTTAAGGCTTAAAGCTTTAGTACTGTTAAAGAATGTACTCTAAAATCTGTAAATTCTGCTTAAAACAAATATGATAAAATTATGCCAAACATAAATGCTACATATTTTGGTGGATGTATTTTTAATGCTGGATTCAAGATTTTGTCAGTCATTTGCCAGGAACATGACAAAAAGAAAATCATACCAAATATGCAGCAAACTTGTCAGATATGCACATAGTGCAAAGCTCTCCAACACTCTCTCTGTATCTCAGATGATAGAGAACTGACGATCTTAGGTTTAATTCCTTGTTGAGGACTTGGCAGTTCTGTTCTTCACCTGATGCTTGTTGTGAAACAGTTTCCATGACATTTTAATGAAGTAACTAACAGCTTTATAAAACTGTCTGCAATAAGTTCAATCACCAAGCATATTTTTTGGTTTAAAATGTTACAATGTATCAATCATGTTAGTGACAAGCAAATTTGTACAGACTCTCCTTTTTTGCCTATTTAAATGAGGAAACTTTCCTCGTTGCTAATCATCTTAATAAAAAAAGCGATTTTTGAGGGAGATCAATAATTTTCGCCTTTTCTTTTTATAAATGGATAAAGATAATGTCGATACCACAGGCAAACCACACCAAGTGTTCGTTGACATGAGACAAATGAAATCTGTAAGGGTTATGAATACAGCTCTGAAAATTGCATATCTAAGAATTACATCTTGGTCTGAATATCTCAATAAAGTTAATTGAAATGTTAATTGATGCATTTGTGATGTTTTTAAGCCTTCTTGGGCCATTTGAAGTGTCTTTTTTTTTAATCAATTTTTGCCTCTGTGCAGCGTCAACAAGGACTGGACCAGACTGGACCAGATCACATCACGTCATTGGTGCTCCCTAGCCCTAGGAATACCTGGTCCTGATTTCCAGTGTCAGTGATAACTCCTTTGTTTGCAAAACAGATAAAATTGATATTTTTGCTTTCCTATATTGCAAGTACAGCAGTGTTTTTGCTCGATTTGAGAATATGGATTCCTCTTCGAATCTATGAGTCAAAGAAATGTGACAGAAAAAGAAAAACTGCAAAATTTTTATAACTGATTTCACAACATAGGGTGTAATCCAACTGTCAAGATCTAACCACTACAATGTGATGAAAATTGCTGTGGTGCATGATATTCAAATATCCATCCTTAATTCTCTTTCACAGAAATGAAGGAGTTGATCACTGATACTGGAAACCTTGACCAGGTATCGTGTATCATGAAAATTGTGCGGTTTTCACTTTTTGGCAGATTGTTCTTGATCTGTAAAAATAAATAATTGATGTGAGATTTTAGGGAAAAATACACCAACACGTGTGTGAAATTTAGAGAAGACTTGACATGAAGGGAGCCCAAAAATTAGTCCAGTCTAATTTTTGGTGCTCCCTTCACATTGGGTATCAAAATTTCATGTGAGTGTGTATGTATTTTGCACGCCTAGCAAATCACTCCACCAAAATTAGAGACTACTCACAGTGTACATGTTCTGCTGCTTGAACTTCAGAAAAATTGCCTCCCAGCAGCCCCCTATCCCCCGCTAAAAGAAAACCGTGCATTGCAGCAGCACATGCATTGATGACAGTGGGACAACACCATGATTTGTACACATAATTAGCCTGCGTGCAAATCTGTGTGTGTGGTATTTGTTGTAAAATCTAAGCATCGATGTACAGATGAAACTTAGTTACAAGTGGTTTTAAGTTGCTATAAGTGGTCTTCAGGCAAAATTCTTCCCCTAAATACAGATTGGAATGTAAATGCCTAAATACACATCTAAAGGAAATTTTAACTGAACCATGTGTTCTTTTTTTTTTATTTTTCACTATCCTGAATTCCCCCCCTTCCTCCCCCCTGCTGTTCATCTTATTACAGCTGTTATTATCATTCTTGTAGTACTATGTTATTCTCCAAATAAACGTGGGCCTGAACGAGCACCTCTCTTTAATATGCACTGTAGACACAAGTCGTGAAATTCAATGAGCTTCCTAGCACTTTTTTGAGGAAACAGGTAATCTTGCTGGTTGCCTGGGTGAAGGATGAACCTTTCTTATCTTTGCATGTTTTGTCTGATGGTTATGGAGAAAGTTTTTAATATTGCACCAAGAAGCTCATAGAAATTTCTGGCATGACCCACAAAAGGTGAAAATAGCAATTCAAAAATTAATTATAATATGTGTTTATTAACTTATGGCTACCTTCAGTTCTCTTTCATCTTTGGTTACAAATATCTTTTGATCCTCTTAGCTGACTGATATCAAACTTGGCAGCATCACATATTCAATTAAAAAAACAAGCATATTCAATCAAAATACATTTCAATATTCCTATGCTTGTCTGCATTACTGGTGACAGAACTGTGCTTGCAGTTTCA